GCCGTAACAGTTCTTTCTGCTTTACCAGTAATTTTGCTCTACAAAAGTTAGCTTGCTGTAGACAGTGCTAGAGCCATACCCCTAGATATTTCAATGCCTTACTCTGTCCAACTTCAGACCCCAAAATTTGAAAAGATATGGGAGTCATCTTCCTTCGTGTTGTCAATATTACAACCTCAGTTTTATGTGGTGCCAACTGGAGTTGATGTTCCATCATCCAGTGTGTTACTCTTGCTAGGGCGGCGTTTCCCAAATTCATTACTGTTTCCTCATTGTGCCGTTACAACCATAGCGACATCATCAGCGAAACTAATTAAAGTCACGCCCGTTGGCATATCAATCCGGAACAGATCGTCGTATAGAACATTCCATAAGGTTGGTCCAAGTAACGATCCTTGTGGGACACCTCCACTAATAGTAAAATCTTGCGTCTGCCTGTCTGCTTCTAGGATTAGTTTCCTGCCACTTAGGTTACTATATGTTACGTTATTATATGACATAAATCAAGATTGATAGACGTATTCAATTGATTTGTATTCAATCCTGTTTCATCGTAAATTATCGTAAATATCTAGAACTTTTCATTTTTTAATAATACCCTCGGTATTTTTATTACTTTATTCGATAGAAAACTATTCTGAAACGAATGAAATATCGTATATCAACTTTAGACATTTTCGCGTATGGTTTATTTGAACTTGTAACAAGCGATTCATAACGACAATTTGACTCGAATTACCAAGTGTGTGCGGTACCAAATTATTCGTAAAGAAATGCTTTTACTAAATTAGCTAATGAGCCATCCTCGTTCCATTTGAAAACATTGAGATATGATTAAAAATACTATTTGGGCATCTTTTAATCGGTCAGGACGACACACGAAAAATAATAGACAATTAATTTTTTTTGCAAGGATCCTTGATTAAAAATTAGTATTTTTAACACAGCCATGGCACTCTAGATTGAAATTAAAAATACGATTTTTAAGTGTAAATGTGAAAAGTTGACATATGATATGCCATTCTATTGAGAGTGTTATTTTCTATCGAATAAAGTAAAAAAATACCGAAGGTGCCAACTATAGTAAGTGATCGAGAAAAGTTGAATACGTCAATCAGTCCTAATTTATGTCATATGCGAACATACCAAATCTTGTTTTTTTATTAGAAAAAAATAAAAAAAGATATTGGGGCGAACACCCGGTATATTATGATCTTGGCGCTAGAAAATAATACCTTCTCTATAAATAAATAAAATCAGAGAAAAAAATCAATTGCAGTTTACTATAAAATGCTTCAATGGACTACAAAATTACATTAGCAACAAAATCGCAAATCGCAACTCCTAAAAATTCAAACTCGCAGATAGAAGGTTGTCATGGTCCTAGTTTATACAATAACAATCGCAGCAAAATCGCAACTGTAGATTGGTTGCCTAAATTAAAACTTCCAAATGGAAGAAATTGCAGTCGCAGTTTCCTATGAGAGCCAATCGGAGGTTGCAATTGCGATTTTTAAAGCGCTGCGATTGAAACGCAGTTTGCGATTTGTTGCTCATCTCTATTACACAATATTTGGGTTGCTTTTTAAAACAAAATGCTTGATAATGAATAAATAAATTAAAGCGTAATAATGTAAAGTAATAATAATTGTCGAATAAAGTGACAAACATTTGTTCTGTAAATGTAATTTCATTAGACGCCGCGCCGCACGAGAGAGTATGCAGCAAAAATTGCAGTGTCACAACAGGCCCTCACGGTAATTATCAGCATATTTGAACCGGATTAGTTGTAGATCCGGCTGAAGTTGTAGAGTAGAGTCAGAATCGGATATACAGCCGCTGTATCCTTTGTAAACATTCAGCACTGTCATTATTATTTTCTTTGGTGCTACTGAAATATTGAATAAAAATGAACTAAAATACCTAATAACTATAAAATAAAATAAAAATAATCTAATAAATTATTTATTTATCAATTGAACATTAAATAAAATTTCATTCATTTACATTAAATTTTAATGGTTTTTGATAAGTTAGTTTATTTGATTTTTATCAGAAATTTGTTTTGTGGACTTTAGCTTTTGGACGCTTTTTCTCTCAACAGTCTCTACATAACTCTACACTATGCGGAGAACTCTTCCAAACAGGCCAAGGTCGAATTTCGTCGCCCAACTTTGTCACATTTTATTTATTGGCGTGGAGAGATTTTTTTTTTTGGCGTTTCCCGTTGCCTCGTTCAATTTTGTTTCGTTTTGAGCTATTATATATATTATAACCAAAACGTGGCGGTATCTGTACGCGAGGCAAAGGATCTTTTTCATAAATCTCAGTAAAATAAGTAAACCTAGCCGTTTCTAAAATAGCTATTGCTACAATGATATTGCGTTAATTACATCTCGTTTTATGTTAATATATATTCCACAAAATTAATATTTGAACACGCGTTGATAATATGTAGAGTAGAAATTTAAGAACAAAACTTTTCACTCAATCTACAGGAATATAATTACAATATATTGATTATTAATTTTGTTATAGTAAATGAGTGTGTAAAATTGTATATATGTTATGTTTGTTTTACGCGCCCTTAATTGATTAAAATAACAGTAGTATTGCTTGATGAGTAATACTGGCAACATAATTATTATATGGAGCTGATTGGAAAAATTATTGATTGACTCGATGTTCAATAAAAGATTTTTTATATACCGGGTGTTGCATCGTCGAGCGGGACATAGGAAATCCCATGTAAATTTTAATGGGGTCAATTATTGGTTTCCATAATTATTTTAGAGAATAATTCTATTTAATTTTAGTGAAGAGCGCTAAAACCCACATTCAAAAGAATAACTTTAGATATTTTTGATTACCCCGTTTACGAGTTATCGCCGATTTCTTTTTAAATATTTCTGCTTTCTTAAGGCCCCGTATTTACTTATGAGCACCAGTCGAGGTAAAAGATAACTGTCAAATGAAGTTGTCATTTCAGAAATTTATCTAATTAGTGCTTTATTATTATTATTAAAAACTCATACCTACATCAAAAATATTAGCCATGAATTACACTACCGAAGAAAAAGTATTGATGATTAAATGGTATTATCAAGGAAATAGTTATCAAAAGGTGTCGGACATGTTTGCTGCTTTGTATCCGAATAGACCGATACCTGGAAAATCTACAATCGCAAGGAATATCCAGAGATTTGAGACCAAAGGTACCCTAATAAATAACTGCAGATCTGAAGCAAGGCAGGAACAAAGAGAAGATGCAAGAAGTGATACCGAGTTGGAAGTTCTATTGTGCGTGGAAGAGAACGATGGAAAGATCAGCACAAGAAAACTTGAGGATGAAATAGGAATAGATTGCTCTACAGCGTTTCGAATTTTGAAACGACACAAATACTATTCATTCAAATATGAAAAGCACCAAGAGCTACGAGGTGGGGACGAAATACGGCGGCAGGCGTTTTGTTTTGATATGATGGAAAGAGCAAACACGGATAGGGAATTTTTTAAAAACATATGTTTCACTGATGAATGCACGTTTACCTTAAATAATGAACCCAATGTTCAAAATTATCGATATTGGAACAAAGAAAACCAACACAGGTTTGTCGAAACAAGGACGCAATATCCACAGAAAGTAAATGTTTGGGCAGGGATATTCGGACACAATATTATCGGGCCATTATTACGCGAAATTTAAAAGCAGAATATTATTTGGAACTACTCGAAAATCATGTTTTACCTGCTTTGCATGATGCCGCTAGGGAAAATCAGGAAGTTTGGTACTAAACGGATGGCTGCCCGGCACATAGTACCCTGGCTGTTCGGGAATATTTAGACAATAGTTTTAACGGAAACGTTATTGGCCTAAATCATACAGTAAATTGGCCAGCAAGGTCTTCTGATATTTCGCCAAATGATTTCTTTCCCTGGGGCCATTTAAAAAACAGGATATATAAGGATAAAAAATACCCAAATCTAGACGAGTTAAAAAATGCTATTTCTGCCGAATGCAATAGAATTTCAGTTTACCAACTAGCGAATGTAAGAAGAGAATTTTATGATCGCCTGGGTTATTGTCTAGCAGTCGATGGAGGAATATTTGAACATCTTCTTTTCCTTCATCCTAAAGTTCTAACAATTTTATTGTACCTAAATAATAAGTTATTGAATATTGTAATAATACTATAATTATCCTTGTAATTGATTACTTTATTTTACTTTAATTCATATTAATTTGTATTTATAAATACACCTTGAAGATTTCCGGTGTAGGAATGAGTTTTCCTTAATAATAAAGCACTAAATAGGTAAATTTCTGAAATGACAACTTCATTTGATAGTTATCTTTTACCTTGACTGGTGCTCATAAGTCAATACAGGGCCATAAGAAAGGAGAAACATTTACAAAGAAATCGGCGATAACTCGTAAACGGGCTAATCAAAAATATCTAAAGTTATTCTTTTGAATGTGGGTTTTAGTGCTCTTCAATAAACCTAAATAGAATTATTCTCTAAAATAATTAGGGAAGTCAATAATTGACCCCATTAAAATTTACATGGGATTTCCTATGTCCCGTCCGACGATGCAACACCCGGTATAATAATAACATGGTTTGATAGAAATCCATTCAAAAATAAGAAATGATTGGACGATTTTTTAAATAGTTTGACTGTGGATTAAAATGAACTTGGATTGATCTGGATTTTCTATTTTGACTGATATTATTAATTTCTTTTGTGAACATTTTATTTTACACCATGATATTTATAAATTTCTTCCTGGGTGTATCATATACTCCCATATACATATGTATATGGGAGTATGTATATGGATAATGTATATGGAGAAATTTTTATATCCTGTTATGTATATGAAAAACGTATATAGAGAAACTGTTTCTTCCTCGCATCATATACTCCCATATACATACTCATATACCTTCCATATACTTCTGCATGCTATATTTTTTACTATTTTATTTTTATTTCAGACGAGTTGGCTAAAGATTTGATCAACAATAACAAAGGAGATTTAATAAAAATGGCTTTACCTTTCATTGAGCGTAAAGTGGCTGAGATATTATTGGAGACAAGCAACAAAATAACCAAAAACTTGGATTACAATGAAGTATTTCCTGAATAATACCTGCCAGTATTCTTATTAAAGTGATATTCGTTCCTAAAATATTATTTCATTTCTTTGCCCGGTATAACCAGTTTATAGCATAAGACTTTTTTTTAATTATTTGTAAAACAACGATATTAGAATGTCATCAAATCTGGTCAAATACAAAGTATCAATTTCATTCGCATAACGCTAAGGTTAAATAAAAACTTGAAACTATTGTTTATCTTTTGGAGAAAGGTGAATAGCACGAAATTCGTGATGAGTTAAAAAAGTTATAACTATAATACGAATTTCGGCCGTTATAATCTGAAATCTATGAAGGTTGAAACCACGGCCTTAATTCGTCCACCGGGACTTTTCAGGCGGATTTTGTACCTTTTGGGGAAAATTTGTAACACCGTTTTTAGCCGGCTTTAACCGAAAAAATTACCCCAAATGGTCGAAAAGTTAGTTTTTCGCAAATATCTGTCAAAATATGCAATTTACAAAATTTAATAAAAACTTGCTTGGAATAAAATATGAACCTTAGAGGTAAATACCTACAAAAATGGTCATATTTACCTATTATTTAGTAAAGGAACTAGTTAAAAAATTAAAAATTAGATAATTCGTACATGTTCGCTAGGAGGTAAATTATTCTGTAATCAGATAAATAACAGATAACCTGGCGAATTGCGAGGGCACACCAGTGTTTGAGAAATATAATGTTAATTATATTAACAAATTTCGATTTCAATAAAAAAAAACATATTAATGTCTGGTGTAATAGTAAGATCGGTATAAATTATTTTTTACATTGGACCTATTTCTGAAAAATTGTCTGATAATGAAAATTAATTAATTCTAATTATTCAATTTAGACTGTCCGGTCACCACATTTTAGGGGTTTTAGTGAATTTTTAATTACGTACTTGGCGGAAAGCTTTTTCTTAAATTCTTATTTTAAGGGATTGTTATCGCTGACCGTTGGCAATGTGGTATAGCAAATCGAGATATATAGATGCAACTATTTCTGTAATATTTTTAGCATTGAATTTAGGGATGTACGTCTTCACCTATTGAAGAACCGCCTCAAGTTTCAGTTTTTCTAAAACGAGTACCATATACAAAATAAAAAAGCCTATGAATATTACGAATATGTTATGCAGTAAGCACAGTAAAATTTGTTTAAGGAATTACACAATAATGATGTATTGAATCTCAATTGTTCCTTCACCAATTTGTCAAGTAATCTGAAAACTAGTTAGTCTGTGATAGTATTCATGTATATATTATTTATAATTAATAGTATTCATGCATATATTATTTATAATTATTTAGATTTCAACTGCAGTTTGTTATATTTAATACCTCGAGTATTTATAGTAACATTTTATTTTTTTATTTAAAGTTATTTGTAATAGCTCTCAGAGCTGTGCCCAAAAGAATAAAATCATTATTAGCCGATATATAATAATTAATTACAGTTGGAGGTTGGAACCCTTTGTGTTACAACAGGAAACTAAAACACTAAATCACCGCAATACACCAGAACACTTTTACTTTTACACTGGACGCGCGTTTCGCTAACCATGTTAGCATCATCAGCAGATGATTAAAACTAATGTCAAAACTAGTTTTTCAGTGCTCGTTGCAATCAAAAATTTTTTTGATTGTAACGAGCACTTTGTTTACTCACTTGTTTCGTCGAACTGCTTGAATCCATTTTTGCTTTTGGTCAAATTGGCGTGAGAAAACTATGAAGCTATTAAATGTTGTTTTGTTGTTTTTAAATAAGATTTTTTTGAATGAAATGTTGGGTGTCTATCTTTTGCTAAGTGCTTTAACATTTAGCTTTCACAAAAATCAAGAAAAAGTACAGGAAGGATGAAAACTACCCCCACCCAACATAAATTAAGATACTTTACAGAATTATGGACAGACAAAAATATAACAGGAGAACATGATATCGATGAAAATTACAGAGGATATGTAGATCCCCTCACCTTGGAAGAATTGAACGATGCTTTAGAGAGACGCAAAAATAGAAAAGCAACAGGCTCAGATGGTCTAAATATTGAACTTTACAAGTATGGTGGGCTTCTCCTTAAACACCGTTTACTACACTTATATAATAATTGCTAGTACCATGCTAAAACATCGTCTAAATGGCAAATTAGTATCGTTCAACCCATCTTTAAAAAAGGAAACAGACAAATTTGCAGTAGGTAATTATAGATGTATCAGTCTCCTCAATTCAGAATATAAAATCTATGCAAAGATGATCTGTAAACGAGTACAAATAATATCAGAAAATATATTACTCGAAGAACAAAGTGGATTTCGAAAAAGGCGCTCTACGATTGATAACGTTTTCTCATTACAGCAACTAATAGAAAAAAGACGACAATTTAACCAACAAACCCACTTAGCTTTTATAAACTTAGAAAAAGCCTTAGATTATGTAAATAGAGACAAGTTATGGAAAATAATGATAAAGAAAGGATTCCCCATGCACTTAATAATTTATGTATTAAAGAGCTGTTATCACAGAACTTATATTAAGATGGTAAAAGGGGATAAAATAATAGGAGTTAATAGAGGTACAAATCAAGGATGTCCTCTTTTCCCTACACTTTTTAATATATGTATATGTGGACAAGGTTATAACAGAATGGAAAGAAATAGCACCAAGATGTATCCCAATAGACCGATAATATTTTCTGAATATACTACTGTTTGCAGACGACCAAGTGAGGATACCTTACAAAGGCAGGTTCATCTCCTAGACAAGATAATAACAAAATATGATGGAAAAATATCTACCGAAAAAACAACAGTGATGGCACACTGGGGCAAAGTCGGAATCCGCACCAAAATAGTTTTAAGAAATAAACCATTACAGCAAATGTCGCACTTCAGCTTCTTGGGATGCCACATAACCTATGATAAAGATAACGACTACATGAAAAAATAAATAAATTCCAGTCAGTGCGTAGAACTATGGCAAAAACTTTTATAAACAAAGCACGGCTAGAAACGCAAGTAAGACTATATAATACATTAGCGGTACCTACCGATAGTATTATACGGAAGTGGAGCCTGGACTACCACAAAAGTTAAAGAACAAAGACTCAGAACAACGGAGATGACGTTCTTATGAAAAATAAAAGGAATAAGTAGAGAAGATAGAATAAGAAATGACACAATAAGAAATGAACTAAAAATACAATCATTAGAAGAAAAAGTGAGAGTATATAAAAACAAATGGAAAGAACATGTAGAAAGAATGTCAGATGATCCAGGAAGGAGAAGTATATTGGACGACCAATATAGAGATGGTGTGTCTGAACAGGTTTTTAAACCTAAACCGAAAAAGGATACGACGACGAAAAAGCTCAAAAAAAATAATAAATTTTAACGTTCGGGTTTATTTTTTATTGTTGTCCTCTACGGACAAACGAAGCATTTTTGTATAAAGGTAAATGATGTGCAATATTATATTTTGATTCCAAAAATACATAATTCTTCTATGTCTACGGAATATTGGAAGTTCCTGTATATTTTGTAGGTGTACTTTAGAAAAATAAATTCTTCAAACGAAACCAAACAGTTTTTTCTCAAAAACTATGCGATGTGGCGTTTTTTTACAGGAGACAAAAATGTAGTAAATACTAGAGGGACAATTTTGCGAAAACAAAATCTGTGGTTGGCAGAGTTGGAAAATATTTATACTAAAATTTAAATAGGGAAGGTTACCGTACTTTTTCTTGGTTTTTGTGAAATTCAAATGTTAAAGCACTTAGCAAAACATAGTCACCCAAAATCTCATCAAAATCGGAATAAAATCGGTTCTTAAAATATCTTAAAAAATGTGTTTATTTTTTTAAAGTTTGATGCTATCTAGAAGAACAAACTAAGCACTTTTTTATTGAGGTAAAATGTGTCCAATGAACTTATTTTGACTCCAAAAATACCTAGTAATTCTATGTCCACGGAATATTGGGACACCCTGTATAATTGACACACAGTTTGCATTTTATGAAAAAATATGTATCATATTTATGTAGCTGTGAGGGCACTTTTATACTGATTTTTAAGTAAAGTTATTTGTATTTATATAGGGTGTTTTAAAAAACATGTGCCATCTCTCGTGGAGAGATTCCTCACGTAAAAATAAGATTTATTTTTCATATCAACATAGGTCTGATTCTGCTTTGTTTCGTAGCTACAGGGTGTTAAAGTCTTAATAATCTTTCGATTTATTATAATTTTCTTCCAAGTACTTTTAGTGATTCGAATGAAATTTTGAGAATAAAAGTTACTATAAGTGCTACATATTTTAAGGCTAAAAAAGTGTCGATAAATTCGTCGGGGTCGTGCATATGGGTTATCACTGGAATATTTTCCATAAAAAAACATATGTGCCCCTGATTCTTTTTTCTTTTCATATCAAAATTGTGTAGACGGTTTAATGCCAATTAAAACTTATCTCTTGATATTTTGTCAAATTCGGCCTCCTTGATGAGATAAACGTAATTTTATTAATAACAATTCATAAAATTTAAATTAAATTAATAAATTATATATTTTACCTAATTAATTATTAAATATTATTGTTATTAGTTATTATTACTATAAGTCTAACCTACAGCAATTTCAAATAAAAAAATAATGGTATTTAAGTTAATTACAAAAAACATAATTTTAAAAAGTTTTAACATCCTGTAATTCTCAAAATATAATTTTCAATAAAACTATGCATTTCCATACTCATCTTTATAGGAACTTTTTTTTATATTTTTTGATGAGGAATCAATGAGTACTTATTTAAAACTTTCGCAATTTAATGATATTAATTTTTTTTATGGTTGCTATTAGACTTGGATTAAGGCAAATTAATATATTTCCATTTATCTCATCAAGGAGGATGAAATGGACAAAATATCAAGAGACAACTTTTAATCGGCATTAAATCGCTTATACTATATCATTAATAAGATTAAAAATTAATATAAAAATACTTGGAAGAAAATGATAACAAATCAAAAAAATAATAAGACTTTAACACCTTGTAG